TGAATTTAGGCAGTGGCGAAACATGTTTCATACCCGTAAACATTTGACAGTCGACAGTAAACACTAAACGAAATTTCCGTTTCAAATACGTGTAATAAACGAATAGTTTACAATAAATAAGTGATCACCGTGTATTTGCTAGAATCACATATCGCAGTCGAGAATTATTAATGAAAGTCGTTCCGCTGGTACCGAGGCAGATATTGTGGTTACCACATACCGGAGATTAATTTTGGCGCAACGCAACCTAGACGGAGAACATTTGTGTTTGTTACACTGGAATATTGACACAGCCAACTGAATTATTTAATCGCAGTTTTGATCTAAACACAGATACCTACTCCGGGAATTAAGATGATGGATCGAAACGCTGCCTATTGAATTTAAAAACGGGGCGGAATGCGGAGATCAGAATATAGTTGCCGCAACGTGACAAATAGGGGTTGTACGGGGTGTCTCAAACTCGATAGTATGGATACAAAAAATTTAAGTAAAATTTGAAACACGTGGTGTACATCGAAAGTATTATCTTTGGGTGTGGGTACATATGTTGCAAGTGACCCATTTTTAAGGACAACGTCAAGACCGCCGCCGGACGCTCCACGGGGTTCCCGGAAGCCGACCCCTGCAGAGTGGCGCCAGGGCCAGGGACTTCTGCCACCGATTACCAAGCTACCTACGACCGACTTCAACCACAAGGCACTCTCCAGCAAACCCTCAAACCGTCAACATTACTTTTTCTACACAAGCTTAGTTTTCAATAAAAATAGTTTATTTGTACCGTTGAGAGAGCGTTTTATTCTTGCTGTACAGCGAAAGGGGTTTGACAGAATCGACTAATAACGTCATCATGTATATTTTTTCCAGAAACATACCAAAATGTTTTTCTTGTTGAAAAGCTCTATTTTTTCTAATAAACTTTTATTAGAGAAATTTTTCTGTATTACTTCTGATTTAAAAGTTATAAGCAATATCGGCCTAAAGAGTCTCAAAAGAAATACCACCTAAAAATCACGTTAGCGGTGAAAGGATCCAGTAGTCGTTGGAAAATAATTGAATGTTCGTTGTTTAATGTGCATAAACGTCACAAAATACTTGTCATTACTCAATACGAACGCCAAACGTATAACTTTCGTGCTTACAAAATGTTTTCTTATTCAGAAAAAGCTAATTTACGGCGAGTAAAAAAAAATTCAAGAACGGTATCCATCAGAGCGCCTTATTCCTGATCATAGATCCTTTACAAGATTGGAGGCGACCTTGCGACGAAATGAAAAAGCATTTTCTATTCGGAAAAATCAAATAATTGACCGGAGGGTAAGAAGCAATGTTAATACAGCTAGACTGTTACAGTATTTCGAACAAAATCCACGAAATTCTATACAGCAGGCTAGCCGGGAATTGAATTTGGATAAATCAGCCGTTCAACGAATTTTAATGACCAATCGGTATCATAACTACAAAATTAATCGTTTCTGTTATATCCCAAAGACATTACTTTAGATTGAAAATGGAACTTACCTCGTCCCATTTGACACCACGTGTTCCAAATTTTATTTATTTTTTTGTATCCTCACAGCAGGCCCATACTATCGAGTTTGAGACACCCTGTACTACTTAAATCTGCACAGGGTACCCAAAAATTATGAATTTAGACAACTGAAATATGATATTATTTGAGGGTATATCTCTATGTTTGAATGAAACAGATCTCTGTGTGCGCTGCTACGAAACCGTAAAATAATGTAGATACATACCTGGTTTCTTTTAATTTTTTATTAAGAGATGATAATCTCAATCCAAACCATCCATAACTTCATTTAAAAATAAGTTATATTAACAATTTTAATAATATTATTTTGTTCATGTTTCACATGCAAAAGAACTGATGCAATTTATGAAATGAAAATATGACTCAATGCATTAGCATTTTAAGAAATGAGGCCGCAATTTCTCTGGGCGTTATCTACATTAGTTACTGTTGTCTGAAAGACAAAGTTCGTATTATATTATAAAAAAAACGCGACATCTCGATATTTATGGAATGAAGCAAAAAGAACAAAAGTCTGCTCGCACTAATCTTTACGGGTTTACTTAAGTTCCCGATTGAAATAATACATTTTTTTACCTATTTTCATAAACACTGCACAAAAATAATATTCTTTAAATGTTACCCACAGCACATTAGTGAGAAAAAACTATATCTTTTCTGAACAAAATTAAATTCCCTGTACATGATATTTTAAAATAGCCTCAAAATCGATATTAAAAGATAAATACAAAATTTTCTAAAATTGTACACAAAAAATGCCGCTTCAAGTTTGAATTGGTAAAATACAAAGAACTCTTATAGAAAAATATTTATCATCTTTTTGATATGTAGGTGTTATAAACACTTACTACAGTGAATATTATAACGAGATATTAATATATGTTTCATCAGCCTAGATTTTGAGGTTAAGTTAACTAAGACGCAAAAAGAAAGCAAATGGAAGAAGCATTTCATATAAATCTTATATTAATGAGTACACTCTTATCTCCTATGTGTTCTACAATAGTGCGTTATCACGAATTTGTGTTATACTTACAAATTTCATAATTTTAGAAAAGATGGTAACTGCCTTGCACACACCAACAACTACAACTTTTCGTGCAATAGTTGCTCTTTGTTGTTTGATTTCGTCAGACGGAAGAATGTAAACTGTAAGTAGTAAAGTATTGCTTTATATTTTAAATTTTATCTACCATAAATAACGACAAGCGATAAGTTCGACTTAATATAAACAAAATTTTATATAATTCACTTTAAAAAAACAAATGTTTTTATTTCAAGAAACGCTATTGAATGTGTGAATGATTTTTTAATTCCGCGGAAGGTAAACATAATTTGTCTTCCAGTGACGTAGAATGGAGGAGAGGGGTGTGCAGTTTGAATTGTAAAAAAAGTTGTTAAACTTCACTTGTCTGCATCACTTTCAAGCAAACATTTTATGCCTCTAGAAGTTAAACTTAAAGTTTTATGCAGATGGGCATATATTTATATGAAAGACAGCCATGCGGATCCTCCCCATCTCTTAATTATTGCTTACCTTCAATATTTGAGAAATTACAACGGCTTATTTGATCTATGATCCGCTGCTGATAAACTTCCAACATTATCATGATGTTTGGACTTTTACTCAAAATTCTAGTTCTAATTCAAATACAATACAAATGTGTATATTGAGAGTCAGTCTTATCCTTTTAGCGATATTAGATATTCTTAAAAATTATAGCAAGACTATTCGTTGAAAGATAGAAAAATTACAATTACGCACCAAATTTCAGTCAATAATATATTAATTTTTTTTTTCATATTTTTGTTGCTATTTTCGTGTTAAAATAATGTATTTTTAACGCCAAAATGGACTGTGAAAATGATATTTGAGCATGATTTAACATAAAAGCTATCTAAATATTAAAATAACACAGTCCCACAAAAAAAATTATGTGCATCGAACTAGACCACTATATCCTTATGTTTTCGAGTCTTTACAAGAATTTGCAAATAAACTTCTCGTCAGAGCATCTAGAATTTTTTTGGAAATATTGACATATTAAATAGCACACGGCATGAAAACGCTTATTAATAATAAAATAATTGATAAAAAAGCACACAATTATTAGAAAAACACTTAACAGTACATATGTTAATAATGAATTGTTCAAAATATCTCCACTTTTGCCAAATATGTATTTTTTTACATGGTCGTCGACATTATGAAGAATTTCAAGAAAAATAATACCTCTGAAATCTGTTTTCATTTATCTTTTCTTATTGCAAGGTGTGAAGAATGAAAATATTTTTCAAATATCCACAAGAAAAAGTAACATTTTATTAAATCCAAGATCTTGCGAGCCATTTAAGAAAATACCTATTTTCACTATTTTGGATTGGAAACAGTGCTCTTATGTCATTCAGACATATGTGTGGTCGAGAATTCGACATTACGAGAAGCTCTCTATAGTGTATTCTCACGAAAGATTTGCATCTTCATGCTTACAAAGTTCAACTGACTCAAGAATCGAAGCCTACTCACCATGCAGAGCGGAGAGAGTTTGTGGAATTGATTTTTCGAACAAAATTGTTTTTTTCGAACAAAGTCATCGTCACTGAAGAGACTTATCTTCATCTTGGTGAAAATTATCGCAGTTGGGATTCACAAAATCCACGAGTGATTGTTGAGAAAGAAATGCATCCACAACGTGTCACTGTGGTGTGGATTTTTGGGCTTGGGTCATCATCGGACCATCCTTCTTCAAAAATGCGGCTGGTCAGGCCAATAACAGTTAATGGTGCTCACTATCGCGACGTGATAATCCAGTTGTTTGTTCCTAAATTGCAAGATATGGATGTAGAAAACATATGGTTTCGACAAGACATTGCCATATGCCATGCAATCCGAGAAACAATTCAATTACTACATGAGTTATTTCCTGGTCGTGTAATTTCCCGTTTTGATAATCATTACTTGGGTTTTTCGAAGTTTAAGGCTTATGCCGACAAGCCCATGACCACCCACGCCTTGAAGAATGAAAATGAGCGCTGTATCAACGAAATTCAGACGCGTTTATGCAAAACGGTCTTGGAAAATTTCGACAAAAGTGTGCGTGAATGCCAGCAAAGCCGTGGAGGCCATTTACCCGACATGCTCCCATACATAACCCTATATACTTTATTAATCAATAAAAAAATTATAATTTTTAACTAACAATCTATGTCTTTATCAAAATTAGTTCTTGCGTGAATTTTGAGACACCCTTTAGCAGATCGAATAATAAAACTGATAAAGAAGATAAATAAACAACATATGGAAAAACTGTTGTATAGTAAATTTATTTTACGCTAATGTTTTTATGCAGCAGCGGCAGGAATGGATCAAATTTCAACATCTGTTAAAACACGTCTGTTTATTTGCCTCGTTGTGTACTAGTATCAAAAAAGGTATTTAGACGTTTGAGGTTATCATGGCGAAGCAGAAGCTTAAGCCGGTGTTAAATCTATTGTTAATAGTCATGTCAGCAAGTGCTTTTGTTGACAGTGATCCACAGGAATCGATTAATCTGTGTACGAATATAGAAGTTGACTACGAAAATTACACCGATTCTAGAACCCAACTTTGTGGATGCGAACAGATGCATTCCTGTGTAAGGAAATGTTGCCAGTCAGGATTCCACCACTTTCACAACGAAAGTCCTGAGCATGGATTCTCCGTTAGCAGATGTCATCGCGTTAGAACAAATTCTACTAACTTCACTGTACCCATTTACGATGGTTTTAAGCAGGTGTATCTTGAGCATAAATTTATGGTGGGAATGTTGGACTGTAAGAATAAGGAATACCAGTATTTCAAGATGAGTAATGTAGATTCAAGGCAAAAATTTTATATACAGAAGAATGGAAGTTTGTACTATCCTTTTTACAACAGGATGTACAGCAACGACAGGTACTGCATTGATGAAAAAGACGGGTTAACTGCTTATTTGTGTTTCTTGCCGAGGGGTCCTGTCGCACACTCGGAAAGGATGATTTACGTTTTAGGTATTTATTTAAGGCAAAATTATACCTTTTGTTATCTCATAGTATCCACATTAATATCTATTTTGCATTCCATATTACTTTTCTACTTTAAGTACATTTCACAGTCCAAATTGTGTTCTAATTGCTAGAGTTGTTCCGGGCATATTAAAACAAAATAAACTCTACTCGATTATCAATTTAGTTTATAATGTTTTACTCGTTGGAATATTTAGCACTAGTTTGACCTATAATACGTAAATAGAAGGGATGATGATTTCAATGAGCCGACCAGTAATATATACAAAGTTATAGGTTATCAGAGAACTTGTGATAAAAGTTCTGGAAGAAACTGAATATATAGTTTATATATCTGACTTATATAAAAAAAGTACTGCATACAATAAAGCCATAAATAAATATAGACTAAACAATAACTCGGAGAAATGCCCTCGAATGGACATAATGTTTGATAAAGTCGTTCGATTTTTCCTATATTTTAAAGGTGTTAACATAAATTAAACAAATTCAAAAACTATTTTCTAGGAAACCTTACCAAATAGGTGACTGTTTTTCAGAACCAGAAGTCTAGGTTTTCAAAATTGTGCTAAATAAAGGAAATTTGGTACAAATTAATGTCAGAAGTGGGATTCGAACCCACGCCCACAAAGCGGTATCCATCCTAACAACCTTTTTATGAGTTCATTTCATTAAGAGACTATTTTTTTTAATTTTTGCAGCTAAACTGGCTCCGTTGCCGTTCCTACTAATAACCTTCATTGTATACGCCGTACTTCCCGAGCCAACTTTACATGGAAGAGCCCTAATGCGGCATATATTGTCTTTAAGTATTGCCAATGTCTTTGTGGCCATATCGCAGTATTACAAGCTATACAACAACCCTTTGTGTCAAATATTAGGTAGGTGTTCTTTGTAATCGAAAAATCAGTATCAATTCCAATCTTAGAGCTATTTGTAACATGCAAGATCTAAAAATTAAATTATGCAATGTGTTACAAAAATATTAAACACAGATTATTTGGGTGAACAGGATTGGACTTTCCTTATTCCATTTTTCACTTTGATACTTCTTTTTCAAAATAAATGGTGTCAAAATTACAGTTACAAATATATTTTTTTTATTAATAACCCCAATGTTTTTGTGATGCTGTCAAAAATATTATTGCGCGAATTGAGGAAAGAAGGAGCCGTTCATTCCTCTAATTTTCCTGCTCATGCTTTTGATTTCAAAATATTCTAATTCAAACCAGACACTCCCTTCTCTAATTTGTTTAAATATTGCAAAATGTTTACTTAGAGTTAATTAACATTTTTGAATACATGACATACTTTTTTGTCTTAGTCTAAGTTCGCTTTTGGCTTGTATTCTTAAAAAAGTGTTTATTTTGACATACTGACTTTAATTTTGGAAAGATTAGTAAAATATTCTCCTACTTTTAGTTAGGTAGTTTAGTTTTGAAAATTTGTCTTTTCTGTTGATATTTGGTTAACAAATTTGTTAAAATTTTTAACTACTAAAGCTAAATTTATTGTATTTTTAGGGTATGAGATAGTATTTTTCATGCTTGCGTCATTCTTCTGGATGAATGTTATGTGTACAGATATCTGGCTAGCTTTTAGGTAAGTCATATGATTAATTTATACGTAGAAATAGGAATATAGTTCCAAATTTTCTTGTTGCAATACAATTACAAAATAAGGTCAGTGATTTAAGGGCAATGGAGAAGTAACTGAATTGAAATTATTAATACGTCGATACGAGTATAATAAATACTATCATAAACCAATTAACAAATACCACACGATAACAAGTTATTATATTGTTAGACAGAACTGCCAGATCAAAATATTATCGTGTAATAAATGTAGCAATAACATGTGAAGCAAACCTGCGACTGATTAGATGCATTCATTTTGCGTCTAATTTGTACGTCAATTAATTTACTGATCGCGCAAAACCAATACTTAATATTAGTGTACGTATTTTGATAAATCGGATATCTGCAAGTTCAACTATATTTAAAGAAATCTTATCTCCTTTTCACTTCTATTGATTTGTACAAAATAAAATAAAATTTTAAATAGAAATCGTATTATCTCATTTTGTGAATGACTAATAAGTAGGGTTGTTAGAACCGAGCCGCGGGACATAGGCGTACGCATTATTTATTAAAAAGCAACAAATTCAATCGTCTACAATACACCACCATAAACACCAACGGATAGCAATCAATTACGCAACATCCGCACGATAACGAAGGCAACAGTATATTAACGTGAGGTGAACGTGAAAAGCATCCTGCTCAAGCATGATCCACATGGCACGCCATTGTATTTGGGCTTTCTCTGGCAGCCTTATTAATAAACACTCATAAAATCATCTGCTAAATTAAAATAACTGTAAATTGGGAAACGAACAATATTAGTATAGTTGACAAATAGAATGATATGCTGCTAATAAAATAGACCCTTGTGCCAAAAGGACCAGTCACGGGTTATTAAAAAAATTAGATTATATCAACTTTTCAAAATCACTTATTTATTATGAACATGTACGTTGTGTATTTATTATTTTATTATTTTTTTTAGCGTTTTACGAGGACAAATAAATCTGGAAAAGAGGCTCTTCTTTCTATGCAACATCTATGCTTGGGGAATACCCTTCACCATTGTATTGGTCGTCTTTCTGATAAACACTTATGGAGACAAAAATTCTGTTTTGTATCCTGCAGTGGGCATTGATTTCTGTTTTATAAATGGTATATAAATTTTTTTGTTTTAAGTATTAAGTAACCCTCTTTAGCTATATTTTGAAGACTCAATTATTTTTGTTGCTTTTTTAGTTACCCTAATTTAAAATAATCACACATATTTATTTTTTACATATATAATTACATATTTCTCTTTGATTCGAGCTTATAACCAATATATTTTGTAAGATTAAAAAATATTTGTTTATTATGTTTTAGTAAATTCTTTGAATGACAAATATTCTTTTAGGTCACTTTCCAATATTGTTCTACTACTTTGGACCAGTATTGCTTCTGGTGATAATAAATACAGTTCTATTCATACTGACTGCAATTAATATTCAAAATGTTAAAAGAGAGACTTCATTGTTACAACAGGCTGACAGCAGGCGACATGCATCTAGTCAGGACAACAGAAAGAAGTAAGTAATGGGTGATTATAAGTTCCAAAATTATATGAAAATATGAAATCACATACTCCTCATGATAAACGTAAAAAAATCAAATGAAATGCAAAGTCAAGCACAAAGATCACAAAATGTTACAAAAATGTTGCTGTCAGCCATATATTATTTAAAAAATAATTATTTCTGACTAAACTACGCAGCATTCGAAAAAAACGCGGAGAAATTTTTTCTTCAAAATGTCTAATTCAATAAAAAATAATATTATTTGCTTTACAATTCAAAGGAATAAAACAAATTCGAAAAATTTCTGTTAAGGGTAGTTAGAAAACTATCCTTATTTATAACCGACTTTGATGAAACTTACGACAGTTAAAGACCCTTATGGTATGATTATTAACTACAATTTTCATTCCATTATCTTAATCAGAAATAAAGTTATTTTAAAAAATATCCAAAGAATGGAGGGTCATATCTCAGTAACGGTGCTCCGGAGGACCAATGTTTATAGGAACTTTTTGTACTATTTTTAGCTCTACTTTCACCCCCTTAAATTTTGTACCAACTTTTCCAAACATCCTGTATATCGATAAAAATTTGTATTTTTTTTTCAAATATCCTAACATATATTTTTAAATTTGTGTTAATACTTAGGTAGTATAGTTATTTAATTTTATAAATTTTTATTTTCAAAAAGCTGTTTCGGCCTTTTAAGGCAATGTTGCTAAACGTTAATAAATTTGTAATTCATTTTCATATGTTCCATTGTTTTAATTTTTCAGTTATTTGTGAAGAAATAATATTCATACAAACAAACTTTGTCAATTGTTTATTGTAGACTAAACAAATTCTGTATAATTTTTTTTTTCAGATTTACTTTGTACTGGAAGCTGCTTTTTGCCATGGGTATTAACCCAGTAATTAACATACACGTGATTCAAACGATATCCTGGTCAGCCGGATTGAAATTAGAATATGACACAGCTAGGTACATTTTCTATATCAAGGATTTAGCACACACATTGTACGGAATATTTATTTTCATGACGTACACCTGCAAGAGGAGTATCAGGAAAGATCTAAAGAAAAGGTAGGCACAGTGATATTAATATAATTACGTCTAAGGAAGAGATATTTTAAATAAATATTAAAAGTATGTTCCAAAAAATAATATTTTCATGGAAAAGTAAATATGGTGCAAGGTGGGGTAAAAGTAAATACACAAGCCAATTTATGTTTTATTTTAATATTAAACTCTTTTTATACCATTAGTTTGAAAAATGGTACTGTAAGGTATGGTAATGGTAAGTCAATTGCTTCAAACAACAAAACAGAACAATATTGTGTTCTTCTTAACGTTGTTAATTTTATGTTTTGATGATTTGAAATTTTTTATGCAATTATTTGGGGAAACATTTTTAGGAAAGTCTGTATAATAAAAATTGCGATCGTAGGTTTTTCAAGACAATATTTTTTCATGTGTATACAAACAAATAAAGGTTATTGGAAAAGTATAGAGGTCTGGGTGAAACTAAAGCGTAAAATTAACTATAGATTTTTTTTATTTATGTACCTTATATTATTAAGTATATGGAGTTTAATTTGGGTATGTACTTTCAGCTAGTCATGTATTACAAAGAAATGATGTATCATAAGAATAACTTTTTTAAATGAAAATTTTACTGTATCTAATTATAGCTATAAATAACACAGGCTCGCAAAAAAAGTGGTTTATTTCTTTGATCATCAAACCCCTGTTATTATTATGTATTCGTACCCGCTGAACACGAATCTGAAGTCAATTTGACGCCAGCACCCATCAGAAAATGTAAATCTTCAAAAAATGGGCTATTTGCGAAAATTCTTCTTGGAGTCTATTACTTGTGACGAACGCACCAGACCAAAATACATGAACACAAAGACAAGTTACATCAATGTTTTATCGTCACGAAACCAATAAGCTTTTCAAAATGCAATACAATATATAGAGATGCCTGAGAAAGATGGAAGCACCAAACTGACTCCAGATTCGCATTTATGAGTACTAAGACATAACGATAGGGGTCTGGTCAAATGAATATGCCATTTTTTGTGTATTTATAATTATATATATTACTTCTGAATATAAAATTAATATTTTACAATATTTTTTAGATATTTTTTATTAATCGGGAGGCCTATTCTGTCCAATTCTATACCACAAACGGCTCTATCAAGTTTATCCATCAGTGAGGGAACTAATGGAAATAATTCAAACACAAAAGACAAAAAAGACGAAGTAGTCTAAAAAATTCTATTTGATATGTAACTTTGTTAATATAACATAAATTACTTTACTTTAGTATTTAAAGGTATTCTACTTTAAGTTTAAATAGTAGTCAAAATAATGCCAAATGATCGTTGTCTGTGATGTACATAATAAATTAAATAATAGTTTTAGAGGTTAGGAAACATATTTAATAAAAACAGGAAAAAATATAAATTAATTAATTATAATCTCACTGCAAAAATTTCTCCGAAACGTAATGTATTTTCTCTGTTAACAAAAGAGGCAAAAAATACATAAATTTGAAAAACCGGCACAGAAAAGCATTTGTTTTATTTGCATTTCTTCTTTTCAAATTAATGAAGTGTCCGAATAGGGCCATAAGTCAGACAAGCTAACACCGTGAAATTAATCCGCGCATTTCAAGCACCTGACACTAAATGCGCCCCATAAACAAAAAGAAATTCCCCAAAACATGTTTAGTCTTCAACTTCCGGCGCTGGGGAGTTTTCTTATTTGGAACTTTCATGTATTTTCCAGGCGAACACTTGTTTATCGCAGGTCATAATCTGGCTATAAACCAAAATGAAAATAATAAAAATTTTAAGGAATCGATTCGTTGCATGAAGGCAACATAAAATAAATAAATCAAGTGGCCTGGTGGCGCTCAGCGATTTCGAGGTGATCGAATTGGCCTCGAGGTTTCTGGAGAGAGTGGCCACTTTGCCAGCATTCTGAATACGGGCGCTAGCACGGTATGAACGCACTTAGATCGGGCGGCTTTTATTGACCGAACTAAAAACTGCTCAAGCCAAAGGAAAATAATACGGCGCAAGTAAATAATATTGGTGATTACTTACTACAAGACGGTCGATAGCCGCACGGTTTAAGGCGTCAGTACTTAAATCGATGTGTCGATCTGCCCGGGTTTCGAATCCCGCGGCCGGTAGACCGTAGATTAGCTATGCTTGTACGGAGGATTGGCACCCTCTGTGCAGGTATGGTAGGGTAGAAGAATGTTGGCTTGGGTCAATGTGAGAGATTGACACCATGTAGAGATTTGTAGAACTGGCATGAACCCATTGCTGCTCCTTCAGTTGTTCGTAAAACTCATTCCTAACGGAGAAAAAAGTGTATCTGGTGCATAGCGTCAAGTATAATGAATTATATTATTCGTGGTTTATACAATGAGTCTACACTCTTTTAAGTGTTATGTTTTCTGGTATTTTAGTAAAATTGGGTTTCCCACTTTAGATATTGCTTTACTGTGTCCAAATTGTTGCATTTCATTTGATTGATGACTTGGACGTACGTCCTAGTCAGAAGCATTAGAAAAGTTATGCACGCAAATGGCAAAGATGTCTTTTTCAAAGTAGAGAATACAAGTAAGTTTAGGAACTTCAATATTGAATCTAACTCTTTTGCTAATTCTTCCAGGGGTCATACCCTTTTGTTTTATTTCACATACTTTGTGTCCATTTGAAGGCCGTCGCACGTATATGTTTTAAAAGTGATATTACTGTTTTTTTAAATATTTTTTAATGCATTTACGTTTTTCATTTTTTTAATGCAGAGCAACTTTTCCCCTTTTACCCTAACTAACTTCTGGCTCTCTCGCGTTGAGAGACGTCCAATAAAATTAAGCGTTATTTACCGTGCTAGGAGGCCCTGTAGAAGCGGCGAGTGGGATCGATATAGGGGATTTTTGTTTGTAGAAACCGCGGCACAACAAATTGCCACTAATGGATAGCAGTCCAAGTGACCACCCGGCAGCCTCGAGCTGGCCCACTGGAGCTCTTGTACTTATTTTTCGACGTGCTCGTTTAAGCTGATTCGTGATACTTAAGTCAGCACAAAGCTCGAGTGCACTACTTGCCACCGATTCTTCTCCGCACACCCACAAGTGTCTTTGTTGCTGAATAAACCAGCGGGGACTCGAGTGGGATACGTTGCAAATTTTTACTTGTAACTAATTATTCTCGTGCCACATTTTCCCTCCGTGTCGCAAGGATATTTTCGAGGGTTTCGCAAATTGGTCGGACGAAGGGGTTGGTCGCTAAAGTATAAACGTAAATTTCTAGAGTAAACTTTTCTGTTCAAAACGCTGTGCGCAGTCGATTAGGTACCACAAGCGGAAACTACCATAGAAATATACAGGATGTCAAAAATTTAAAGGGGGTGAAAAAGGAGTAAAAACTGATACAAACTTGTATCGGAAGTTTAAGGCCATAGAGAAAAATGCTAATTTAAAATGTATTAAAAACTGTTTTGGAACTGCTGAAATACATGTATTTTATGACGACGAGTACAAACAATTCTGTAACACTTTTTACGAGTTTGTATGTTTCTTATGAAACCGGATTGTATTCGAAAGTCAGTTTATAATACATTGTTGTAGTGATTGCTGTGCTGTTTTTCGAGAGTACATTTAATCCATGAAGGTACTTGTGTTGGTTTAACACTTTAAGGCTTTTTAAAATTGACGTGTGCGATATTAGAAGTGCTGCTAAGAAAATAAAAGCCAATCTAACAACGGGTGCTGATTGTATACCTGCATTTCTTTTAAAACCATTATGCAAAGTATTTAACTTAATGAATGCTGGAAGGTTTCCAAAATATGTCCAATTTATAAATCTGGTTCAAAAAGTATAACTAAAAACTACAGACCAATAGCAATTATCCCGAACATTGCAAAGCTTTTTGAATCTATTGTATCATCTGTTGTGTCCAATCATATCTGCAGGCAAATTAGTAACAACCAACATGGTTTTATTAAAGGTCGTTCAACAGTGACGAGAGTATGTTTCGGAAGCTCTTAATAGTAGTTGATGTAGTTTTCACAGATTTTAACAAGGTGTTTGATCCGGCTAACCACAATATTCTGATAAATAAACCGTGGCAATTTGGATTAGACGAGAATTTGATTAAATTATTTATGTCTTTAATGTTGAATAGAATCAATTATCTAGAATATAAAAGATTCAAATCGCAGTTGTATGTTTCAACAAGTGGTGTTCAAATTTAGGTCAAATTATGTTTATCATGTTTGTTGATGGCATTGTAAAAGATATAAAGTCTCAAGTATTTTTATATGCAGATGATTTAAAAATGTTGAAAAATATAAATAATGGAAGGTGATTGTTATTCCTTGCAGACGGATGTTGATCTTTTGTATTCTTGGTGTCTGGCAAATAATTTAAGTTTAAATATTAATAAATGTGAAACAATGTCCTTCTCAAAGAAAAGAAATGTCATACTGTACGATTATAATATAAATGTTATCTCCATTGAACGAACCTATCAAAAAAAGATCTTGGTATACCTAATTCTGAATCCTCACTTATCATTTTCTCTTCATTATGAACATATTAACAATCAATTTATGAAAATGTTAGGATTTATATTTCGAAATACTATCGACTGTTTGTAATATGTTTGTAATAATAAGCTTGTAATACGATTCGAGAGGACGTGGCAATGTTGCAACGCGTGCGAGCGAATTGGATATGTCGCGCTGAATCGTGTGTGCAAACAAATGGTAGGAACATCGAACATCTTCTATGAAAATCAGCAGTTCTCAAAAGGTGGCTTCTTGCAAATCCGTGTATTTACCTCATTTTGACATAAAGGAGGATATGTGGCAAAAATATTTGACATAAGTTCATTAACACCCTGTACAATGTGTAACAAAACTCAGAAACATTGAGAATAATTTCCTACTCCCCTGAACATATCAGGATTCTCTTCAATAAGGGAAAAAATCACTATTAAAATTTTTTTTTTCAAAATTCTTTCAAAATTATCTTATACCTCTCTCTAATGGAAAAATCGAATACAGTTAGTTGTACTTGTGTATATTCTGAAAATAACTATAGACTCCCGTCGATAGTGAAATAGTTCGCTAATGACAATAAAGAAAACGTAGACGGTGGAAAATATACGGGCAAAGGTAAATCTCCGCCACTGAGGAGTTCTGCTTCATTATGAAAGCGGTCGGAAAAGCAATTTAAGGCAATTCCAGCAGACAATCGAATGCTACAGAGAGCATCAAAAAGAGATGAAAATACTACCTTTTGTTCTCAGATCCACAACCAAAACAAATAACAGCTTCGTTCTCAAACGAATATATCGGCATTCATTTGGTTTTAGCAGAACAATTTTGTGAACCCTATTTAAATACAGATTTTGTATTCCGCCGTTTGTTCAGATATGATAATTGAAGGGGTTGGGGACTGAAGCGTATTCGCATTCGTAAATAGAGTTTCCTACATGAATATGAAAAATTTTATAAACCTTAGAGTACATAATAATCCTGCTATTTTGAGTTAAGCATCTAGTTGTGTAAGGGTACAACAGCGCAGAAATCGCAATCTAAATCGTATATTATTGAAATTGTGTTTTTGATTAAAAATTGTAAATTTTTTAACTCCACATCTACATCCATATTTAGGAACAAATTCATCATAAACCCTGATTTATTCAGAATATACTACTGGAATCATGGATAAGAAAGAATATTTTGTAGCTATCAGAGTGGGAAACATACCTATTATTTCATTAATTACAAAAAGGTGTGCATTCATTTTTCACTTAGGTATACTTTTTAAGATTTCTCGTAACCTGGTGCTCCCCACATAGCAACTTAGTAATGAAGCCATAAAAACCTCAACTTCTTATTTAATATAGCAAATTATATTTTATTAAACTTCTTTGCAAAGTACGTTTTCATGTAGCGGTTAACTGTAGCACTTAGGCTAGCAAAAATGTCTTATATTCCTTTTACACAGCCGCAAAATAAGCAAAACAAACTTCGTTCACCTGTTGATTTAATTTTTGTGTATAATTTAAAGTCGGGGAAAACACGATTATAAAATGCTTTGTAGCTACCTGGTTTTTAAATCTCTGTTATGCGGCTTTACACAACCGCCATAATCGATATTAATTTTTAAGTTACTCCGCTTAATATTATTTAGGGCACTTGAAAAGTTTGTGGCGAGCTACGGATCTAATAAAAGACTCCTTACGAGAAAGGACTTATATACTTTATAAATTAAGAAATATATTTTTAGATTTTTACTACTTTCAATTCATTTTGTATAGAATACCGATACAGCATGCCAGTTTCCAACTTAGGCGTTTCCTTTCGTGTCATATGCGTGCAAGTGGGAAAATGCATTATTTTCACATTTTGGTTATTCCCATCTGTTTAAAATAAAATAAAATAAAAGTAAAATCGTCAGCGGGAGTAAGTGGTCAATCTGTTGATAATCAAGAAGTTAATTTTATTTGTGTTGATCACATTGAAGTAATAGTAATAGTTTTTTTTTCAGAATTCTCATTTGTACCACATTAACTTGTTAATTATACGGGAAGGTGGAAAGTTATGAGCAATAAATTTAACGGTGGTTGTACCCATTAAAATAATGATCTAAGTTCCTGTTTCGAAAATTCAATATTAATTTGGTTATAAGTACAACAAAAAAAATATATTTATATTAATTAAAAAAATATCTTGAAAAAGCTAACATCAAAGAATTAATTAAAAAATCACTTTGAGGTTATGTAACTCTGTTAATATAGAGTAGAATTACTCAACTATTTTCTAAAATTTTCGGACACCCTATATGTATAGGGTCAATAATCAATTTTTACCAAGCCTGAGATCATGAAGTGCTCCAGTTTTACTATTTTCAGGAATAATGTTGCATTTTCTTTTTTTAATAAAAGTTATTGATTTATTTGCAAATTTCTCTGATTTCCAAAAATTTTTCTTAAAGATTATTATCCAATTAGCGCCATAAAAATAATCAACAAAGCCAACGTAAAAATTATATTTTGAGATAGTCTATCCAAATAGAGCCAAATTAGTTAAGACATCTCGAATAAGCATATGCATTTTATAAAATAAGTACATTAAATTGTTATTATGCTCACTCTCACTTATAAAATTGTTCGTCTCCATTTTATCCCAATAAAATAAATTTAGAGTTCTGATCTTGTGGGTTTGTAAGAGCAATTTTAAAGTCCGGGGATAATTCCACTGATTTTCCTAGCATTTCCCACTGAAAAGTTTCCTTTCAGTCGACAAAATACGTGAAAGCTCATAGCAATCTCAGTTCGGTGTAGTTTTGCTCGGTAGTTTCAATCAGACCACCTGATTCTTCATGTTTTCGTCACAAGATACTTTTTCATTAGACTTTCTTTTAGTACTTCGTCTTCTTATTGGGAAATTCTTCAAGCGTAAAACTGAACGTTGGAAGCCATTTTTTAAAAGTTACAATCTCCAGCCGGTGTATATAACATTCAACAGGAACGGCTGGAGCAAAGAAGTAAGAATGCAGGGAAATCATGGAAATAGTTATATAATTTTTCCCTATAGCCTCCAAAAATTAAAAAAAGATACAAAACCATATAACCTGCAGTGTATTAATAAATTTAGTCAGGGTGATTTTAGGCTAATACCACAATTTCAGGAAGTTGTTCCTTGTGTCATTGAGCAAAAAAAAATGAACCAAAAAGTATTGATGACCAAAAAGAGTCTAAAATCAATTTCTATTTATTTATTATTAAGGCCTCTGGCATTACTTGTAATCACTAGCCTCTATCGTTCTTGTCCTTGATTTATATAGTTTTCTAAATTACAATTCGTCTGTACTGAAACTACTTCGATTCTTCTGAATTTTTATTATCTCCCTATAGAATTCTTAGTCAGAATCTTTCTCACTATAATTCTTTTATTAATTAGGTTTTGAAGTCTAAACAGATGACGTTGTGATATAGACCTAGAAGTTACCTGTATAACATCTGTATTTGACAAAAATAACAATAAAAATTATACGAATAGTAAAGTAATACTTTAGTGTAAATTTCTTTTCATAAATATCATCCTGTCAATCATAATAATGATTTATATAATTTTTTTAATTCGATTAATTCAAATATGTGAGAATAATATAACTTGAAGCAAAAAATAATAACAATGGAGGATTTAATACAAATTAGAATATACAGTGTGATAGATCTACATTTTTTAACGAGTTCCGAAACAATATCAGAATTAATTCTGCAACACAATTCATTGCATAAAATCAATTTTTGATTTGGGCATAAAGGTACTCTAGCAACAAATTCAAAACTTTGAAACCAATTCAAGTTATTACTAAAGTTAATTAAAATCACCGATGAGTTATTTAATTAGTAGCCTATTTCATGATAATTTCAACTCACCCATACATCCCCGGAACCCTACTTCTTTGGAAAACGGATAGGGTATGTAATAATGTGATGCTTCGTATTTCTTCCGCATTAACGCCCTTTTTTATCCCTTATTGAAACACTGTTTCAGAGAGGCATGCACAGAAAACGCTCTAGTACAGCCGTATCCTTATTTTATCCCCTTTTTAATATACCCTGCATTAAAAAGTGTACATCTGTTGCACGTGGAGGATACCAAGTCCCACGGCGACGCCGGGAAATATTTAAAATTAAATTTTTCGAGCGCATCCGCTTATATTCCCAATTTGTGTCAAAAATTTAAAATGAAGTAAAAGTAATACTTTTCCCAAAAACGGCAGAGCGCGCGTACGCGGTCGAGTAGTGGGAGGAGATCGGGAGATGAGGGGTAGTTAGTTTATTTATTATTTATTTATTATAAGATAGGAACCCCCAACGTATTCGCTTCTGGACACCCTATAAAAGAAAAAATACCAGGATATAAAAATAAAAGTGTAACTTTTATATTTTGTTTAATAATAAAGTTATAAATAGATTTTAAGAAAAAGAAAGAAAAGAAAAGGTTGTTAATTTAAATATTTTCATCACAGAGAAATAAATGTAACGTAAATTAAATTTCTTGCTACAATTTTTTTAACAAGGGTATAATGATGCCAAAAAAAGGAACTTAGAACAGTATTATAGGGCGATGTGCCTTTATTTAAGTCTAAAATAAATTTGATTAAATTAAAAACAAACATTTTATTGGTTACATTTTAAAATATAATACATAACATATAACAATAAATAACATAAGCTTCGAATGTAAAATAAATTAATATAACAAATCAGATGAGTAATAGAAAGTATACGTAAGTACCTTGAGTAAAATGGCATTACAAAACTTTGCATACACTGGAAAAAATTACGAGTCTCTGTAATAGCAATCCCTACAATCTGTTCTAACAGTGTAAATATTAAAATCTCCCTCCCTAGGATCTGGGCAATGCTTACATGAAAATATATAATTTTGGCATAATCCGAAGTGACAGTCATTTTTCGTATATTCTTCTTTTAATGTGAATCCAGGTGTAAAACCATAATCGATGAGTTTGTAAGACCCCTGGCTGCAAACGTAGCCACATTTTACGATTCCATAACATTCGCCGTACCTATTACAATTAGGTACAATGCAACAATTCGATTCTTGTTCGTTGAACATTCGATTCTCGGAAAAAATGGCAGCTCCAACTTTTTCATCAATGAAAACGGTAAACATGATTGTTAAAGTCATAACAGGTAGGATCTGTAGAAATAAAGTTAAATTAAAAATGCTCATATTGACTTTATTATAAACATATAACTTTAATTTAAAGACTAAGAAGAAAAACTAAAGAAAAAGAGAAAACATATTTCCCATTAAAAAACAGGTTATTCTTGATAAGAAAACGTTGTTTGTTTTGGGAACAAGGTTGCCACGGAGATTTTTCAGCTAAATATACAGGGTGTATAGGAAATGAACAAATCTGAGAATTTAAATGTAAACTAACTTCACTTTTAAATGAAAAAATTCTATCAACGGAAGTTGTTTAGCATTAAAAGTATTGTCAAAATTTTAATTTTTAAATCGACCTATTTTAAGAGCATACTTAATTCCTTCAACAGGTACGAAAAAAAATGTTCGTAAATACTATTTTAATAGAACACCTTGTATATGTATATGTAATGTAGTATAAAATAATATCAACAACAAAAAACACTAGTCAAAAAGGCACTAACCATTTTGACAACAATCACACACAGAGTATTTAGAAATAAAGACAAACAACGAACTGCAATCAAAGATAATTCGTAGTATCTTTTATTCGAATACGATGTTTATAAAAGTATTATCAGTAACTTACTTTTTAAATAATGTCGTTTTTGCGTTATTTTCATTTTAATCGCCGTTTTTTTTGCATGCGATCGCTCTATCAAGAAAGGCTGGCGTCAACTTTATAGCAATTCTAAGTTAGCTGTAAATAAATAAGCTGGTTAAACTTGAATTTTCCGTTGACCTTCAAAAATCAGTTCACGTGGATCAGGACTTAATAATATTTGTTGCGTTAATATATTATGTTACGGGTTTATCAAAGTAGGGAAAATTACTAAAAAATTATTTCGTGAAACGATGTATATACGGCGGAAAAAATTCTTTTTGAATGAAATTTCAAAATAATGATGAGATGCATTAACCAAATGTGGACAGGACATAGCTAATACAATGCGAAACATCGCCTTAATATTAAAAATGTTGTCACCGCCGTTCTTGGTGGTGAAAATTTGAAATATTTAGAATTATTCAATATTCTTGCCCGAAAACATACATAGGTATCGAATTGTCGAAACCGAGAGAGTTGCGTTAACCAAATTTGGACAGCACATAGCTAATACAATGCGAAACATCGCCTTAATGTTTAAAATGTTGTCACCGCCGTTCTTGGTGGTGAAAATTCGAAATATTTGGAATTATTCAATTTTCTTGGCTGGAAACATGTCAAAACCGAGAAAGTTGAGTTAATCAAATTTGGACAGGACATAGCTAATACAACGCGAAACATCGCTTTTATGTTAAAAATGTTGTCACCGCCGTTCTTGGTGGTGAAAATTCGAAATATTTGGAATTATTCAATTTTCTTAGCTGGAAACATGTCGAAACTGAGAGAGTTGCACTAACCAAATTTGGATAGGACATAGCTAATACTGCGAAACAATACAGTTTGTAAACCCAGTATTCCACATTTCTAGTCCTTTTAAATTCTCTTTTCAAAATCACTATATTAAAAATTTGGTTCATAATGTTTCTTTTTTTATTTTGTGTAACATAATTATTAGGTACGTACCATGTTTCAATTGCCAATTTTTTTATTTTTTATCTTATCGAGGAAAATAAAAATTATATTCCATATTTCCTGGCTTGGTTCTAATGTTATGTATAATACTCGCCTTCCTGTGGAGAAATTCGTAAAAATCCTTGGTACCTACCAAATAGCTTTATTTAAAAATTTAATTAATTTATTACATCAAATATAAATAAAATTAGTTTAATTAAATGCATTCGGTTTCATTTTTAACTATGTTACACATGATTTTCTTTAATGCCACATAAGTTGAAATTGCGAACGAAATTTATCAAAACTAAGAAGACAAATAGAGAATAAATTTAGTGGAGTTTAAATAGAGAATGCCTTCAATTACACCACTTTGATTCATTGATGTACCACCCTATATATTATGTAGCAATAAAACACGTTATAGGCGATTAATACCACTTTAATATTGACATTGACCCTGATAATTTTAGATAAATATTATTCAGACAAAATATCCAGTTGCTGTAAGACTTCTTAAAAAAAATACGTAGCATTGCAGACAAAATCACATAAGATTAGGTTAGGAACATTTTTTCATTAAAATATTTAATATAACTGCGAGTGTCAAACATTTATTCGTAAATAGGGATATCTCTGAATAATGAGAAAGTCTCTCTGGAGTATATATAACAGATCAAAATTTTCCATCAAGTTTATATTTTTAATTTTTTAATGAAAATTGTACTATTTGAAGCTATTTCAATTTCCAAGTAGCTACCGATTTGATATTTTACCAAAACGGGACGTACAAATTTTTTCCAGATTGATAACTGTCGCTCTGTGTCCAAGTCCTTAAAATACTTATAGATATATTGAAGAGAGAAGTCTAAATAGTTTCACTAACATAGTTATTATGCAAAAAGTTACCAGGTACAGATTTCTCCACCAATCAGAGACTTGGTGGACTTTCACTGTCTGGAATCATTTTTAATAGAATGTCAGGACTAATATTAATTAGTTTAGGTATATTTAAAAAACGACAAAGCAATGATTTTTTAGAAAAATATTATTCAAAATTTCATTTAATTTACAAGAACAATAGCATAAGTACTTAATAATAATAATAAATAATTTTACAAAAGCAATATTACAAAAACGAAAAACTAAGATTTATTAATTAAAATTGTAGAATTTAATATTTCTCTCGGGTCAAGTCAACACTTCTTCTTAATTTTACAATCCTGACAAACAAATGAACGTAATCCATTTGTGACTAGATTTTTTAACTTCAACATCCTCTTTACACCTTGGTCTACATGTAGGAATAACAATTCTTACAATCTTTCCTGACGGTGTAAATATTAAAATCCCGTTCTTTCGGACTGGGGCAGTGGCTACACAAGAACTTATACATTTTGCATTCACCAAAGCGACAGTCTTCCTTGGTGTAGTATTCCTTCAGGCGATATCCAGGTGTGAAGCCGTAATTTGTTGCTGGACGGTACCGACCGTGGCTGCAGATATAGCCACAACTGAGGGTTTCATAGCAATGACCAGAATCGTCGCAGGTTGGTATGATGCAGCAGTTGTCTCTGAGATGCTCGGTATTTTGGACGTAATCGCTCCGCGGGTTGTAGACCCACTGGTCAACAGAAGCATCGTTTTCCACGAGGACTGAAGCCAGAAAGGCGAAAACCAAAGCTAATGGTAGCAACATCTGCAGCAAATCAGAAAATTATATAATTTTGATTCGAAATTTATAAATTTAGAGGTAAAAGTAGAAAAAATGGTATTTCTTGGTATCAATCATGCAATAACAGTTTTTTTTTTTAATGAAAATAGACCGATTTACATCGAGTTAAACTTCAGAAAATAGATATGTTTAATTTCCAGGAAGAAAACTAAATTCTTTATCCGTACGCACTATGAAATTCTTATGTAGAGCACTCACTATTCTCAAATGTTTGTATAAGTAGGTATACAGCAAGCAACAGGCGGCATACTGCCGAAAAATCTGTTTGACGTACCTTTTATTCTTCTACCATGTTTACGAAATATTATCAACACGAGTATTTTATTTCCTCCATCACTTTTCGCTCGTAATAGAAAAATAATAACAAATTTTATGTGATATTTACATATTAATCTCAATATTGGACTAACTAGCAGCTCTGATGATTAATGGTTCATAAAAAAAGGTTTTCAATCGTAACTTTGACATTGACCTTTGGTTCATGTAAATAAGATATTTATTAGGTACGAGAAAATGTAATTAAAATAACTGTACTTTTAGGAATAATATTTACAAAACAAGTAATACGACTTCTAGAATGTTGTTTAATAATAAAGATGACGGCACAGCATAATTACACCGACAAAAGTCACAAATAAATGTTTAAAATATACAATTGTGACTTATAAGTAATACTAGGGAAATTTTGTATTTAAATACCAGTATATAAATTTCGAATATGTCGTCATTGATATTGACAATATTGCGCGAGATCTGATCGACAAGCGCGGCACCAAAAAATTAACCTGATAAAGAATATAAGGACATTCGACCAAATTATGAATATGTCGTGAACAGACCTGGCAGAGCATACAAATCAAATCCTTACTAGAATAATCGGGTGTAAGTGATTTCCTTACATTTATTAACATTACCGAAATTTATTATTAATAGACCAAGCTACAAGTTTATTAACTTCTTGCTGAAGATTGTGATCCTGGCTAAGCGAAGAGATGGAAGTATAGATTTTTACCGTCATCAGGATACAAAATCCTCTCCCCATTTAGCACATTACCAAGGTCGTTAATCAATAGGAGAAAAAGTAGCGGGCCCAAGTTCGAATCTTGAGGAACTCACTATATAACTTGGATTTAAAACTGTTAAATAATGAGTCCTGTTATAAAGATATGAACAAAAAATTCTTAGTAATTCGTCTCTAAAACCAAATATATTAAGTTTTGTAGCAAAATCGAGTGATGTATCTTGTCGAAAGCCTTAGACATGTCAGTGTAAATCACATATACTAAAATATCTGACACGAACCGAGTAAAACATACAAGTTTACGAATCTAGATATGTGTCGCAAGTCATAAAAAAATATTTTAAAAGACCTTAAGTAATTGTGTCACGACCTTGTTGTTGTTACCTCCCTCCAGCGCTGAGGTCTTAAGACTCATTATGCATGACGTTAATACGAGTTTGACTACGTCCGATGGTAAGCACCAGCTCTCTGACGTCCTGAGATGACTAGCCTCCAGATATTTGCATCTTTTCAGCATTAAACAAGCAAGTATTTGCCTCTTTTCAGCATTAAACAAGCAAAGTGACAGAGGATATGTATAGAATCCTTGTCCGCATAACCAGCATCTAGTGCTGACACAGACTAATTTTGTTGAGGTACTTATTTAGATGTCCATGACCTGTTAGAACTTATACGACAATGAATGTGTATATTTGATTTTTTTTTTCTTTCGAATATGCGTAACTACATTTTGTGTTACTACATTAAAGAACTAGTGGAAAGATAACCTTTGGCACATGTTTGCATATGGAAGTAATTAATACATCCTATTTCTGTCGTAAGAGTACAGTTTTGTTTTTTTTTTCTGTTCATTTCGACGAGTGTTACGTTGTTTACAGGAGGACTTTCAGCAAACGAAGTTTTCTTTAATTGTTGTTGGTCTTAATTCTGTTACAGAAAAATATGTTATTTCTAGATGTATTCGTTTGTAATGTCGACATGTTTATCAACAACATAGTTAATCATGATTAATTTTAGGAATTTACTATTTCTACAAACAAACAACGCATTTGCGTTCCAAATAATTTTAATATCGCTTTGTACGCTACTGTGACATTACAGTTAATCTTCATTCTCCTTAAAGCCAACCACGATGGTAAGTAGGTTTATCACATCGTAATTGAAATTATTGTCTAAATATAATCTTGTAGTTCGTAGTTTTTTAAAATAATAATTCGCTTTACAATATTTAACATCAAATAAACAAATTTATCAACAAGTATCATCAACAAACCGAAACGATAACTATTTTATTCAATAATTCGCATTTTGTAAAGTAAGGGGTAGTACCAGGCGATTAAAATTAATAAGACAGTCAGTTTAACAAAGTTGACGTTTAGAAAGGATTTTTTAAAATCAATTCATACTTATTAGTACGTGGGAAACATAGTTTTTTTATTTTTTTATTATTATTACCTACTATACTTTCAAAACAGTGCTACATGGATAAACATTATGTAAATAATAATTAATGCAGAAATCTTGTAATGTTTACAAATATACTAAAACTTCTACTTTAACAAGATTGCAGTAAAATTTTTAAGTATGTACTTACATTTTTTATTAGAACTTATATCACAGAGGTCAGTGCTATAGATAACCTCTGCATCCTTTACCCATATTTAAAAGACTACTGGCATACATTTTGAGTATGTAATATAACTTAACAACTTGGTTCGGAGTATATATTTTCTTACACTTAAAAAAGGGGACGCAGGCAACTGTTAGTTTCCGTAAATCAAAGATACTTTAGATATTAACAAAAATACCGAACAATAAAAAATTTGAGAACTTTTTGTTAGCAAATAAATTTAAAGTATAATGTACCTAATTATGAAAAGTCCAATCAAAATTTAAATTTTCTATATACGAAAAAATTTTCTCGTAAATCCATATGTTCAAAAATATACAGGGTGTTCCATTTAAAAATGTAATATTTTGCGTGTCATGGCCATGTATATTTCAAATTAATTTTGTAGTTTAGGTTTCTTGATCCTGTACATCTTTTATATAAACTTTTTTTTCTGTATTATGAGTAACAAGAGAGTTACTTTACTTTCTCACATTAATGGCCCACCCTGTATGAATTGAAAGAACTTTTTTTTAATTTTTTTATTTTTGATGATTTTTTTCTTGGAATGGTCCAATGACGTGCTACTAAATTCCCAGTTGGGCTACTAAATATGTCTCACACGCTTAAATCTGCAGCTTCAGGAGGATAGGAGGAATCTCATAATGACATACAGGGTTCTCACGATAATATTTACTGCTCAGATGAAGTATTCGCCTGCAACAAGGTTGTGAGACTACGTGGTTAAAGAGGGAACATTTTCATATCCGTACAAGACAGTATTTCTTGCCGAATCTAGTGGTTGACATGTGGTTTCACTACCGGACAATGTAAGATCGGCGTCTTGGATCAATTCCTTCAAATTTACCAGTTTCGCCTTACCGAACTATAAACAAACGTGTTAGCATACTTTTTAAGCTCTTTGGCAACTACTCCGTTTTTGCTATGTAATTTTTACATAGAAAGCGAACGATATTAAAAAGTAAACGTCGAATGATATTAAAAAATATTTGAAGAAATTGCACTTATTGAAATTCTTTCAGATTCCAATATACAGAAATCTTCTACTCTTCCTGGTTGTTATTTCCTATGAAGAAACCTTGGCAAACGACTATAACGCCCACATCTACACTCCATTGCTGTACAATCGGATGAGGAGGGATGCTTCAGGTCACACGTCATGTTGTACGATTCCTCAATGTGAAGATATACAAATAGGAGTGGAAGGCCACACGGCTATTAAGTGCTATTCAAAACGAGTATGCGGGAATATCTGCAGGCTAAATGATTATCAAAAAGTTGCTCTGCCGTATTCACCATATACTTACGAGTACGGAATTAGAAACCAGTATGTAAAGACAGTATGCAAGTCGAATAAGTGTTCTACCCACCGGTTTGACTGTTCGATCTGCCCCAATCCAAGAGAAACGTCTTTGTTGGCACTCGGAGTTAATAGTGACTGCTTAAACTGTTATTATTAAAAAGAAACAAATAAAATTACTATCACCTATTTATAAAAATCGAACCAGTTGAATATTTCTTTCAATAAGGGAATAGGTTTTTAACAAATATAAATAATTTCGAAATAATAATTACTTCTTGAAAATGTCGGATGAAATTAATTTTATGCTAAATGATTTTAAATTGAAAATAAACACAATGGTGAAGTCGTATTTTTATTAACAAAATAAAAACAAAAGTTTGACGACATAATGAATGTTATTGTCTACTCACCAACATTTATATCGTACCTTTTTTAATCAACTGTTTTTTATTTGTATATCTTTACTTAATATACAAATATAAGATTTTTTTAATTGAAAATATGTTATAAATTATGTATGTACTACAAGAAAGAAAGTGGATATATTTTTACGTCAAAAACTGTCGAGCAAAACTTCTTGATTATTGTAACATTAAGTTCATTAGAAATTCAAAATGTAAAACCAGCACCACACCTACGGCAACCTTCGAGCATATACTCCTAGAGGCAGCACATCATCGCGACTGGTGTGCGAGAGAGAAAGGAGACTAAAAGGACATGCTATCTCTCTCGCTCCGCGAGCTGGATTGGTCGGTGCGTGCTCCCCTCCATGCCAATGACCGTCCTGTACCTAAGCCCCGACCAATCAGCTCGCGGAGCGAGAGAGGTAGCATATCTTTTTATTGTCATTTCTCTTTCGCACACCAGTCGCGCTTCCTCAGCACTGAAGGTTGCCTCTAGCAGTATATGCTCGAAGACGGCAACAAATGTCTGTGAATCAGCATCTGCAATAGTTACTACTGCTAGTTGTAACTATCGATATCGATGTCGATATCGATGCTTGGTTTTCGACAAATATCGCGTGTGTGCATAAAAAACTTAATGATAGAAAACAAGAAAATATCTAAAAACGTTATGTTCTTCCCAGAGTACAATCCTTCTAACAATACATATTCTTTAATGGGAAAGTGCTATTCATTTTTAAATCAATCTATACGCAAAATTTTAAGGGACCTCCGCGGCCATATTTTGCATTCCTCTTAAACGTATTCCTGACGGATTGTTTTCACTGCTGGATGTGCCGGTGGAAGTCGTTACTGACGCCTTACTGTCATTTTTATTAGATTTATAAATCCAGTGAAACCTGAAAATTTATTTTGATTTGCATGAGGATATCAACAACCGATTTATTCCTTTTCAGTAAATATGCAAGCAACCAGTTAATCTGCAGCTATAAACCTACCTTTCCTTTAATGATATCCATATCTTTTTCTGACAAACAAAAATCACAAAAATAAGTATCCCATAGGCAGCATGTGAGAAATCTTTATAGTACCACACGTACACAATGACATTATGATCGAATTCCCTTCCAAGTGACCATGAGATTAACTGAATTATATGAGTGTTCACCACTGGATTTAGGCCCATCACAAAAAGAAGCTTCCAATACAGTTTGAATCTAAAAGTAGAATAGGTCTGGATGAATTTCTAGAGCAGTACACACGAAATGTGGTCATTTTAACTATTCTAAAGTACAGGCCCACAGTTTTGTTCCTTTAAAATCATTATTTTCATTATTCTTGAAAGTAGAAAGGGAAATATACACAATTAAATTTAAACTTACTTGTCATCTTCTCTGTTTGAATGCTTTTTGGTCTCAACAATTCTAGTTTCCCTTTTAACTTTCTGTATATTCAGGGCGGTCAGTATGAACAGTACTATATTGATCACAATGATTACGAGAATTGGTCCAAAATAAAAGAGATGTGTAGCTAGTCCTGCAAGAAGTATACAGCGCATTTCATTAACTATTTCATTACCATAATGATAGGCGATGATGAATAAATGTGAGATGGTATTTTTTAGATTCTTGTTTTAAAATTTATTTCCTTGCTTTTCCTAGATAAGTATTATTTACCAGTCGAGGATGATTTTGCGCCCGAGCGGTGCGAGACTGGTAAATTATACTTAACTGCTGCGTGGTGTATAACATTGTATCTGCTCTCACAGTTCTTTATGGTTCATGATATAAAGCTTAGGTTTTATTTTTTGACATTTCTTAATCAATTCATTTTGACATTATTCGAAATCTTGCAAAGTCGCCTTGGTTGTTTGGATTTTATGGTTTCTAAGGTGTTTATAAACAAAGCTACAAAAAACAATTTTGCTGGTTTTGAATTATTATTTATAAATGAGTGATTTTTAAATAGAAAGTGCAGCAATTGTACAGTTTTTGAAACTAGAACATCGTGAAACATATACAGGCCATTCATTCCGAAGAACATCGGCAACATTACTGGTTAATACGGGAGTTGATGTATTAGCAATCAAGAGACATGGTGGGTCATCATGATGTTTTAACGGATGTCAGATAATACTGAGCCTCCGGTGACTGAAATGGAGCGGTCTAATCATTTTGAGAAAAATGTGACAATGTATCCAGATTTTATAAATGTTGCTAAATGTAATAACTGTACAATTACTACAGATATTTATTCATAATAATTAATAAAATGTAATGTTCATCAAATATTTATATTTATTTGTTCATAAAATTTATTTTACATTTAACTCGAAATCGCTTTTTTCCCTAGGGAGGTAAGTTTCCTCACTTACCTCCCGTTGTCCATAGCAACTTCCACTTCTACGGTAAAATCCACTTACCTCCTTAAAAATAATGTATTAATAGTTTATTTACTATGGTGGGAGCAGATAAATGATATTAATTTACCTTATATTACACCATCAGTAATTATGACGTAATTTTGTTCAATAAGGTAGAACTAATATCAAATGGTTACATAATCTGTGACAAATTATGAATTATATTCCTCATAATCTCTAGTTATCCTACCATTTTTTAAAAAACATGATTCTACACCAATCCCCGGATGATATTTCGCATTTTCATCACCATATGTACTGAGAAGGAAAACAATTAGTACGTTCAAAATAGGCAGTCCCCATGCGTAGCAAGAAGCAACTGCGAAGATTCTCCGTTTTATTTTTTCTTGTACATAAAAACCTCTAAGGCCACTAGAAATATGTATATATTAATATTTATATAAGTAAGATAACCTTGAATAAAAATGTATTTAGATAAAGAAAAACGAGTGTTTTTTTTATGATTACTATACGAATTTTTAAAGATACAGAAGAATAAAAATTTGAATTAATTTTTTTAGGGCTCAAAATTGGTAAGAAAGACTTAATTAACACTACGGATACGGAAATAATGAATTTACTATATTTGGAAAAATGTATTCATTTTCTTTTGTATTTGATGCAATAATCAGGTAGGTACTGAAGGCATATATATATTTATTTCTATGTTAGATTAATACTAAATAATAACTCTAAATTCAAGTAACAAAAAATAGCACACGTGACAAATTAGTATTAACTATATTAGATGGAATAATAAAATATTTCGTTAATTTAATATTTTATCTAATAATGTAACGAATAGATGAAGGGGTAATAGTGATAAGACAAATAATAAAACCGATTTACCTAAAAGCTAGCCATATATCGATGCATATGACGTTCATCCAAAAGAAAGACGCCACCATAAATAGTAATATAGAGTATCCTGTAAGTACAATGTTTATGTTAATCATAACCACTCGGCTAATATTTTAAAAATTGGGAAGCAGCGCAAGCCAAAACACATGATTTTTTTAAAATTTTAGTTTCATTTAATTCAAATATTATATTATGTTTTATACTGCTTTCGATTAAATTAACTTTAGTTTTTTAATTGGAAAGAATTGCACATTAAATAACTTTTCAAACTGTGAAACAAGTAGTGAATACATTTTCCCCACAATTTTAAAACGCTATCTACCTTCACAAAATTTTACAAAAAAAAAAATATTCTCTATATGACATGTTTTATTTTATCGCAAGCAAGTTGTTCGGAAAATGCCTCAGAAAAATAAACGTTCCTTACCCAAACAAAAACACAAATTATCATCTTCTATAACTACGTATTGGCCAATAGCCAATAAACCATTTCCAAGTAATAATGAGAAAACATGAAGCATGAGTGCCGTCCTATGAAGGTTTCGCTCTGGTAAAAGAGCATACACCAATCCAGTAACCAAAAGGAATGGTACGGATATTAGTTTAGCTAAAAACAAAATAATTGGAAAAAATTTCATTTTTTATCTTTAAACGTATGGTGGTCCGTTTTTCATGACTCACCATTGGCATCTGGGAAACCGTAAGATATAGAAGGAGGCTCAAATTCAATATTTCAGGAACGACACCAGATATCTTTGATCTGTTTGGTTTATTTTAATATCCCTGAAAAAGCGCAACTTTTTCTAATTTGAACCACCCTGTATATCTTACGGTTTCTCAGATGTCAATGATGAGCCACGAAAAAACGGACCACCCTGTATATGAGCAAAATAATTAATAAATGTATAAACTCATTACTTAGCGGATTCATTCGTTTATTTTTTATGCTGTAATATTGAAAAAAAGGTAATTATAATAAAAATTTATATTTTTGTAATAGGAAACAAAGGCGAGATTGTCTTGAAATATAATATTTTCAACGGTTGTGCAATATTTTTATATTAACACAGGAAACAGAAGTAGATAAAACGTCATTATCTCTATTGAGGGATATGAAGCGATATTAAACAAATATACAGTAAAATTAGGAAGTGTTTTCATTAACGTAATGTTGCTTTAATGGTTATTTACTGAAATCTTAAATAAGAGAAAACTGAACATAGACATTAAATCTGGAGGTAGATGAAAAAAGCAATCCCAATAAAATTAAATATGTTTCTCAAAAAACAGAATACCTTACTGACATCGCCATCTGATTCTATGTCTTATCTCAAGTCTGTGTATCAAATATTCTTATACTAGCAGTTTATAATAGTAATAAGATGTAAGTCTTATGCCCCGTACTTTGAGTCTCGGTTAAAGTTTGATAAACTGATCAGGCGATTAGACTGTACGTACATATTTATTTTATAGTATAATCACAGTCTAATCGCCTGATTAGTTAATCAAGCCTTAAATCATGTCATTCTTACCACTTCGCGTTATTATTTGCTAATACCAATCGCATTTAACCATTTAAGCAACGAAGACAGATAAAATTCGAGAAAGAAATGTAACTAATGTGTGAATTATAACGAAACTTACCTGTCACGTGTATTATAGTTTCCAGTTTGTTATCTTCTTCTGGTTCAAAACATAAATAAGCACCTAATCCATCTGATTCATCCACACAATACCTAAATATTAGGTACATGTACATCACCAAAATTCAATTTTATCTTTATTTTTTCTAATAATTATTTAAAAATATAAAAAGACTTTTATTTATGTACAGCTGTGGACAATAATTAGTTTCTCACCTAAACAGCTGACTTAGTACTTTCCGAAAGTTAGTCAAATTTTTTGATGCCTACATTGCATAGATAAATATCACACCGATTACAATCTGGCAACCTTAGAGGCCTTATCATTGGTTAATTGCGGTCAATCCACCTACTGGGAAATTCATTATTTAAATAATCCCGCCATTTTTTAATTAATTACTGCAATTATATGGTAATTTACATTAAACAATGTAGAAAAATGTATTATAGGGTCTCTTTAAATAAAAGAAGTACCTATCACTATACCTGTAACACGAAGTGCAAATATTCCTTTTCCTACTACTGTTATTTCATCTTTTTGCGCAATTTCAAATTCGATTGAGATGTTACAAGAAGAGTAAGACAAAATTTCAATTGAAGACAAACATTGAAAGTACACTAATATCAGCTACAACCTTTGAAACAGCGCAATAACGTTGATAAGTTTCATATAAACAATTGCAATATTTAAAAATGTTAAAATAAATAAGAAACAATACCTTTCATTGCTGAGAATCAAATCATAATATGGATAGTACAGACTTCCGTTGTTCTGTACATAAAAAATTCTATTAGGTTCGGTACTGTTCAATTTAACATACAACACGTTTGTGTCGCTGCAATTCAACATTCCAATAAGAAAATTTTCGGTTACGTCTCGGACCTTTTGCTCACCATCATAAACAGGCACACTGAATGCATTCGATTCATGTTTCGAGCACACACTCTTATATGATGTAGCGTCTGGATCTTCGTCTTGATAATAAAAAAATCCTATTTGGCAACACTTCCTTATGCAAGTTTCCTGGTTCTCACAGCCACAATTTTGAATCGACGCGTCGGTATAATTTTCATAGTCAACGTTAACGGTTGCGTTACGACATAAATTTAACGTATCGTTGTTATCGGCCTCCGATTTTATTTGTTTTATGAAAACCAGTAACAAAACTAACACAATGATTTTCATGCTGACTGATGTTTCACGATTAAATCAATAGTGGCGAGAAGAACAGATGCAAACGTCGATGTTAGTTAACCGGTTTTGTATAATTATATACGGAAGAAAGAATGCATACATATTAATTTTGCCACAAACGTGTCTAGTTATCTGAATCATGAATGAAATCCTGTTACTTTCAATCTTGGTAATTCCTAGTACGTATATACCCACTATTTCTGTGCACGATCAGTAGAGAGGCTGAGAAAATAGTTTCCATTAGAGAAAACCCTGCAATTTAAAATTCCCCTATTAACAAAAAGGCAAAAATGTTAATTAATATCTCCGGATGTACACGCCAGATAAAATTGGGAACGTTTTCTGAATTTAAGTAATTAAGAAAATAAAAGAAAAACATCGATTTGTCCAAAAATTTTGAGAATTTAAAATTTTCTCATTCTTTATTTAATTAATTCGAAACAAAGTGATGATTATTTGCATTGGCGTAAAAATATAATTAAATAAAACATATATAAACGGTCCTATTGATAATAATTCAAGACTAAATAAAAGATAATGAAAAATTTACTTATTAAAGATACATTTTTTGATTGTCAAATATTTTTTATGTGCTATTATTATTTGTCTGTACTCACCTACCTGCAAACGATGTCTCAACAAATAAGATTTTGCTTAATGTTTGTCTCATGTATACGCATACAAACGTATTCATGATTCGAAATACTATTTTCATTTGTATAAGATTAGACAAACATTTTTACCAATGTGAACAGACCTTGAACTATAAAGATAAGAAGGCCCTTTTGATAATTGCCAAAAAAATAATCCAGCTGTTGTTCTACTTGCATAATTAATGCATGAATATATTATGTAATAATTTTATACAGTATGCAACAAGAAGAACCCATCTGGGATATTTTTTCAAAGAACTTTTTAGTTTATTTTATTTAATTCCGCACAAAACAGAATCTGTGAAATAAGAGAATTATCAACTACAGGTATATTAAATTCAGTTAAGCCCTAAGGACTGTACAGGGTGTTTGATTAAGGCTCTACGAGTATATGTGAACCTATTGGTTCTACAGGTTTGGGGAAACATTTTTTATAATAAAAGTGGCCACGAAAATTTCACTGAAAATATTTTCAGTTGCCGCAAATCTCCGCAAGAGGGCGCAAATGAAAAAAATTTCTTACTAACGTGGATATATTTTTTTCAGTTTTAAACAATAGTCCATTTCCTAAAACTTTTCCTAGTGACATTTTTTATTTCCTCGATAAATAATAATTTGGTGGGATAAACTTGTATTGTTAATTTGAAAAAATACTGTGTTTTCGGATCTTTTTAAAGGATTTTCTTGCTATTGGGTTTGTTTAAAATTACAATACCCTACAGATTTAATAAATGTTTTAGTATTGGCAAAAAGTTGCTTAAGAAAGGTACAATACAAAATGGCGATATGTTGAAACCTAACCTATTTCTTAATTTTCCATGGAAATTTTAAATGGAACAATATACTTTTTTGTAAGTCATTATAACCAACATTTTGACCAACGGTCAAAACCGCATCTCGATATCTTAAACCGTTTAGGTACTTAGATTTTCGTATTTGTACCTAAAGAAGGAGAATAAATTTTCAATGTCACCTGGAAAAGTTTTAGGAAATTGACTATCGATTAAAACTGACAAAAAATATATCCACCTTAATAAAGCATTTTTTCATATAAAGTCAATTTTAAAAATTTCTTGATCAGTTGCATCCTCTTGCGGAGATTTGGGGAAAATTATAGTATATTTAGTGAAATTTTCGTGGCCATTTTATTAAAAGAATTTTTTCCCGAACTTGTAGGACCAATAGGTTCCCACATACAGCCGGTGGCCGGCCTCAATCAAACACTCTGTACATAGTGAAAGTAAGGCCTAAAGAATTTTCCAAAAACTTATCAAAATATAACTGGATTGGGAAAATATTAAGCGATAATGTATTGTATGTTCCCTTCGACATTTCTCTTGAAGCTCAATTGCCAAAAAGCAATTGTTATCAATTTGAGCACATGTGTGCAAAATATCATTTGCAAATAAGTTAAGTATTCGAATTTGGAAGAAACCTGGGAATAACGATTTCACACAATTAACACAAAGGTCAAGGTGTCACAAGAGTTAATTTTAATAATCTTGAGACAGAAAAAAATAACTCGTAAAAAATTATCTCCAGTATATTCCAATTTTAAAATAAGAAAGATAATATTCAGTAACAAAGAGGGGCACTGTGACAGATTTTGTATATATGACACACTATTTAAATTTTTTATACATTTGAAAACAAGTCTTACGTTGTGTTAGTTACATATGCCCTGTGGTGACACATTTTATCAGCAGGTATAAAAATGGTATGTAAGTGCTCATATTTCCTGCAATATCAATTATAGCATATTTATAATGTAAAAAATATTGAGACGATCGAGATCAAGTGAATAAATTTCATTGCTTAAATTAAAACCATAGAGATAAGTTATCAGTTGCATTGCAACTTAAATATCATTGCAAAATTATTGACATTAAATAAAACTGTTATTGCACTTCCTATCAAAGGAAAATTAGTGCATGCTAAATCTTAGCACTCTAATATTATAATAATGATAGGTACCTACATATATAATGTTTAGAGAATGACATCGACCTTTTTTATAGCAACCCATATGGCCAATAGTTACATGGTTGATACTTATTTCTTTGCACGCCTTGCATTGTCAGAACAACTGCGGCCAGTCATCAAATTGTTGTCAAAATTGCTCGGCATCTCCCTGCCAAACATCAGCCTGTTGCCAAACAACATCCTGCTGTCAGACGACAACGAATTGCTGTCAGAAGATCTCAAGCTGTTGCAATACATGCCAAACTGGATGTCAAACCTCGACATGCGCAGTTCAATGTAAAATAGATTGTTGTAGAGAGAAATGTGACAAAGAAGATGAGAAAGAAGACAATAAAATAATAGAAAGAATAATCGAGACAAAGCAAACAAGCAATGTCAACGAAAACAAAATTGATTTTACTGTACCAATAGGAATAAACAACACGATAACTCAGGAAAATCATATATACCTTCCTATCAATATCTCCAATACTAATGTCAACAGTGTCATCGTAGCGGTGTTAGGAAACACTGCTGGGTCTACAACACCCTCACCCACGACTCCATCTACCATAATTACTTGGCCTACTACTCCAACTACAACCCCAGTACCAACCACAACTCCTTGTCCCACAATTCCACCACCTACAACACCATGCCCCAGGCCTCCATGTCCCACGTATCCAATAATATATCCCATAATCATACCCATATACTATCCCATTCCCTATCCCATACCTCAGCCCAATCCTGGCTGTTGCGTAATTATCAACCCATGCAGCACGTACGGGTGCCAACCTTACCAGAGACAGTGCGGTTTTGAATGCTCCCAGTCTTTCTTGTACAGACCTATTAATCCTTGCCAGAGTGGTTGCTACAAGAGACCTTATACCTTCAGCTCATATTGCTATGAATCAGGTCAATGTTACAACAACTTTGTTGACTGTAATCAGTGCAATTATAACTTTTATCAGAGTTATGGAGAATATTTGAAGTGTGGGAATTGTTTTTATAGATGAACTGTATTAAAAAATAGAGCGATCAGAATGACTGATGACTGACTACTGCAATAAAAACTCTTTTTTTATTTGTCACATATATGTATGTATTTAGTTGTGTTATAAAAGTTTACAAAAGCACTATCTTACGTAATAATCGCATTTGTCAACAAAAAATGAAAAAAAAATTGAAATTAAACTTTAAAAAAATAAAAAATAGAAAAGGTAATAGAACTAACAAATATTACTTGAGAACATTTTTCATGATGTAATTTCCCTAAAATTTGCAGCACCAATTTGACAAATGCATCACAAAATGTACAAGAATTAACCAAATCTGATGCAGCTGCATTTTGAAAATAAGTGATGATAAGCAAGGAGGTCAGTGGTGGTCAAGAACAAATTCTAAGAGTAGTAACGGGGGAAAAGTTGCCACAAAATAATTATCTCCATTCATTTTAAAATTAGAATTAAAAAGTGGGGAATGATAAGGCTGAATGACGAGGAGACAGATTTAAAAAATATTTATCCAATATTTTTATTTAAATGGATATGAAACAACCATTACTACATCAGTTTGTTGTTAGTTATATCTGTGCCGTAGTGTGAAAAGTGCGGATATGAAAATGGTACGTAGGTACTTTTTATATCTCACTTTCATTAAAACTTTATACACCTACACTATATTTGACAAACAGTTTTTAATATAATCGAAATATATATTTAAAAATCATTGTGATTAGAAATATTAAAACCTTGACATTTTCTGAAATTAGATAAATTAGATTCTATATTATTAGATAGTTTAGATTCTATATTCTAATTGACTTAGTGAACTTTTTTATGAACGCCGTCTTTAATTTTCACATTTTAAGATACTTCTTATACGGAGATGTATCACTTTGTAGGTAAGTTAAAAAATATCCAATCAAATTTGTACAGTAACATCATTACAGTTAAATTTAAAAAAATGATCAATGTGGCAGAAATATCCAATTAAATAAAAATGTAACGGATAATTTTATATTATAAATAAATATATTAAATAGACAAAACCGCCACTTAACTAAAGTGTTGTATTTTTGAAACAATTAAACTATAATCGATTTGGTTTATTCTAAAAGAGATCTCTTAAAATTTGTATAAGTAAAATTTTGGCCTTCTTATCTTACAGAAACTTTTAGTGCCAACTTTAGGACTCGTGCTTTTCTCGTTGCATGCATTTGGCTGCGAGACTAACTGCTGCGGGCAATCGACAGAATGTTGCAAAACTTCGTCAAATTGCTGCACTAATTCTACAGATTGCTGCCAAACATCAACGAACTGTTGCCAAACCACGTCGAACTGTTGCCGACAAGTCATGACTTGTTGTAACAAGTGTCAGGTTCGATGTCGAACCTCAACATGTACAGACCAGTGTAGAAAAGATTGTTGTACCAGAGATGCGGATGAATGTAAGGAAGACTCGAAGGATAAGGTACCAGAAAAGGTTATTGTTAATGGAAGTAAACCAAGTGAAAATCAGGCAAGTAAAACGAGTAACAGTAACGTTAATGACAACAACCACAACATGTCTGCGACAATCAGCATAAATAATAGCATAAACAATGAAAACCGTATATTTATCCCAATCAACGTTACTAATAGTAATACCAACAATATAGTCATTACTTCTTCAGGGAGCCAACAGTCGCCAAAAGTATCAACGACGTTTAGGCCACCACCAACTCCAACTGAGCATACCTCACACCCGACGCCAGTATCTCCTACAACAGCATCGCCCACAACACCATGTCCCACCCGTATTGTGAAGGTACCTGTACCCATTCCCGTACCTGGAGAAAACAGATCAATTCCTGTTCCTTACCCGATACCATTTCCGATACCCCAACCCACGTTTGGCTGCTGCATTGTAATGAACCCGTGCGTCTCCTACGGCTGTCATCCTTATCACAGAACCTGCGGCGAGGAGTGTTCTCACGATTTCTTGTACAGACCGACAGATCCTTGCGGCGGTTATTGCCACAAGAAGACGTTCAGCATCAACAGACACTGTTCTTGGTCAGGACAGTGTCAACACAACTGGATGGACTGTTCGATGTGCGATACGGACTTTTATGAAAGTTACGACGGTTATCAGCGGTGTGGGGGTTGCTTTTATAGATGAATAAGGTAGATAGAATTTATGTAGATTTTATTTAATAGATACTGTTGCCTTACTAAGAGTATTCTTGTATTTGACACACATTTAGAAGCTCATAATCGATTGCAGTTACGTAGAGACACAATGAAGTATTGTTTTTCAGACCATAAAATCTTTTTCATGTAAATTGTGCCGCAATTTAATAGAACTGTAGTTTGTATGTATTAAAACAGGAACCTTGTTATCTTAATGACTTCGTCAGTACTAAAACAATCAACTACGTTTTATCAGAGTAATTAAAAGAATATAAAACAAAGAACATTTGTAAATGTATATAAATCTAGTAAGCATGTAATCAACTTTTCAATCGCGTTTAGGAACTACAATAACGACAAACCATTATCTGGCTGTATCTTTAAACGAATTGGAATTATCCAAGCAGCAATTAGCAAACAAATATTTGATTAAAAAGAAAATATTTACTTGATGCTTTATAAAGCACAGCATGGAAACGGTAAATACTCAGCTGAAAGCATTTCAAATGCGCCGACTTCGGTGAACCTTTTGATGTTTTAAACTGATGGGCTAACGCTCAAATTTGATTATTTCCACGGCCTTTCATCTATCTACAGGCCCTCAGACATGTATTTTAATATCTTTATTAATATTTGAAATTTATTGGGGCGCCTATCAAAAAGGTTTTTTATTTTTTTATTCCGGTACACGATACAAAATCTGAATTTAATTTTTTCTTGTGTAAGTTATTTATTTATCGGTTGCCTTAATACGTACTACGGCATATCTTCGTCCGTTGGTGCATATTAGCACCAACGGACTTATAAGCTGCCCTCTATATCGGTATATTCAGTTCTTAAGCATGTAATAATGTATATGCGCCAAAAAAAAATCTGGCTCTCCGCCAACGACCCAATACTCAGGAGTAATTCATTAATCTATCGATTGATTGAAACCGGCCGAGCGTGGTGATTGGATTAGTTAGCAAAACTCAGCGAGCAGGCCTGTTCAACAAGCTGATTGCAGATGACTCTCGAGATGCACTTGCACAATGCGTCACGGGGAAGGGGGGGGGGGGGTCTGCATGCCATGCCAAGGCCGCAATGCAAAGCGTAACCGTAGCCACAAGTGGCCATTGAGAGCTGCAAGCATTGCAGAGACACGAACTCTTCTATGGCGAGTCTGTTGGGGGAACCAAAGAAGTAGGAAGCGAAGATTTTCTCTGAAAATTATTTAAATCTAAATTGCGACGTCTATTTTGTAACTAACCTTCTAATACCTGTACTAAAAAAATTAAAAGTTATTCCCTTTGGGTCCGTTTCTATTTATACATGATTTTTTTAAGTTTTTTTTCGCCCTCCCACAAATAAGGGCGAAATGGGCAGTGACTATTAGACGCCTTCATTATAGCCATCTTTCTCTATCGCACGGATTTCTATGACTTTCTTTATCGGTCTCACGTAACGGCCGATGAACCATGGGGACTTTCCGACCCTGTATATAAAGCTTCTTCATGTTGACAAAAGCTAAACGCGTAAAGAAAATTGGTATCTGCTGTTGTTTTGCGGAAGAAAATGTGAAAATTAAGGGTTATTTTAATAGTGAAATTGAAAAAAATTAAAATGAATTTCATAATAAAATTTCCCTTAGGAAATTATTATATGAAATCCAACTAGAATTAAACTTAGGTAAATTTAAATATAGTTGGGTATATCTACCTCCGCGTATGCTTATTTCTTTGTCAACAACTAGCATCTCTAGACATTACATACTCGTGGCGATAACGAATGCCACTTACAACTAGAATAGGAAGTACCTTGCCATCGGGCAATACCTACGTCCAACAAAAGATTGAATTTCACACGAAATATGCAACGAATGTTCCCAAAACATGTATATTCCGGACAAAGTAAATATTATTTAGCTTCTGCGTAAAACATAAGCAATGTTGTATATTTACTTACTTAAAATAGTGAATATTCTATCGTGTGTAATTGATTTCTAAATTAATTGAAGTCAAATATAACGGTTGGATTAAACAAAGCCCAAACTGCATAGTAAATATGCCCTACTCCCACTCCGTCTTTCATGGTTGGGGGACAGTAACCATGACCACCACTGTAAACACTTTTACAGTGTGTCGCCTCTGGATTTGAATGAATTATAGTTTGATGCTATTTTATTTTGAAAGCAGGAAACCAAAAGTTGCTCCAAGGTCTCCACCATAATCTTTTAACTTCGTGGATAGCATTTTTTTCTAATTTGACCATTATAAGCTCTGTCATATTTAAAATCCCTACGCGAATCAAATAGCACGTGACAGCGACTGTTAGGCAACCGAACTTACATGGGAGTCAATGATTAACACAAAACTCCCTAAATATAGATCATAGTCCAGTGGAGTACATTTTCCATTTCTTTACAAACTTTAATCTGCAAAATGTGCTTTTTTCAATAGAAAAAAAACATTTTTTTCATTCACCAGATATAGTACGTCTCAACATTTTCGCCTATTTCGAGCTAATTTCATGAAATTTTGTATCCGGGCTTTTTTGGGATGAGAAATTCGACGATTTCGTTGTATCTTCTAGAGGACGCCACAAATTACCATTAGGACGCATTTATACTGCCATTTGTGTCACGGAGTATTTCACTTTGGCTAAGAAAATTATTTTCCCCTAACTTTTCAGTTTAAAAACGCTTGCTAATATCTCTAAAGCCAACCGTTTTCAACAAAAAGGCAATTAAATGAATAAAAAAATTTGTTTTAAAGTTATTTCAGTTCCTTTGAAAAACAGATCTTGTAAGACAGGTCAATAATAAATCAGTTATTTTTTAGATCGTTTAGATTGGTTACATTGTTTAGATTGTGTTAGATTGATAGATTGTTTTTAGAAAGTATGTTTCTTACTCAGTCAGTGTTCTTGCTAATATTCGACTGGTCTTAATTTCGTTTATCAGTGTGTATTGAAAAACTATTTTTTTTAATTGAAATTTTTAATTTTTAATTTAAAAAATACAGCCTCTTGTAATCCACATTCATTCAAAGATAATGAAAATACTGTTAATAAAATATAATATGATTCAGTGTTTTATAAATTTTTAAAAAACTATTACAAACCCCTCTGATTGACATTTCATCTAGTCTTAGTCGGTAACATGCGTTTGCTGTTACCCTAACCCCACATTTTAAGAATTATTTTCACGTACTTAAAAATAAAAGTAAACAATTTTATATGTAGGACTAAGCAAGTAAATGTTATAAGAATATATACATGTAAAGTTGTATATAAAAAAGTTAGTATTTTCGTAGATTTCAGTACCTAAAATCTTGATGGTTTGATGGTTTTTTACTCCTGTTTATTCGTTTTACTGCGGCGTCTTTGAAAATACCCAGATGGCATGACAAAACATTCCTATTATTTGATAAGCTTTAGATTATTCAGGTATTAAATGTGTGAAATTATTTGTCTTTGCGAAAAACACTATTTAAAGAATATGGCGCCCTTAAGAAAATAAAACATACTGAGCGCCGAAACAAATTTGGTCACGTGAGATCCGGGCATTTATAAAAACACTCTATTTTCTTTATGGTAAACGCTAAAACAGCATAATAACAGAACCTGAACATCGCGGAGCTATATGCGCGAAGTTAGAGGTGGATTCTCAATTAACCTTATTCGGTCACACTGACAAACTGATCCCATTAAGGAATCATTAGAAAGGGAATCTCGACGTGTATCTACAACAACGTACGCCTATCTCCTTATCGCGTGAAGTTCAGGTACTCGGATGAGGTTCAGATAAAGGCCGTAATATCAGTGATCAAGAGTTCGGCTGATGGCTGATGCAGGATTAGCATTTCGGAAACCATTAACTAAATGACGTGATGTATCTGCTGATTACCTCCACTCCCATCGCTGCATCGGAGGATCGGCTCGTCGAGAATGTTCAGATCAAGGTGGAGCGGAAATATCAGACATGATATCCTCTTATTAATGTGTTTCGCCAGACGGGGCTAGCATCAAATCCAACTCTACTAAATACGTTTCCTATAAACTTCATTTTATAGATTGCCTCTGTTATGTCAGGCCCGTTTGCAGGGGCGGACTGGGGCAGATTTCCGCAAATAAATCATTAATGCATTAAATGAACTGCAACAAAACTTTATAAGAAACAATGTCTTAAATAATACCATAGGTTTATTTTCTCAAATTCCGTTGTGAAAACTGATTTCTTTTTAACTTTTTTTTTTCGTAATATTCATACATCGCCGCTGGACAAACTAGTGTGACCTCAAACAACAGTGCGCGTTGGTCGCAGCGCATACACACTTGGGAACTGCGGTATGCATTGTTGTCAGATCTCATATTTAAGAGAAAGGTGGGAAACTTTACTAGAAATAAAAACTCTCACTCAACGTGAGATGCTGCCTTTAAAATAAGGTACAGAGCCTTCTTAGACGGTCACAAGCCACGTTACCGCTCGGCTTAGGCAACCAACATGGCACGGTTGGTACTATCAACTAAATATACCTAAATCTTGGCGTCACCTGTATTAATGATTCGTTTACAATGAAGAATGACAAAATATTACATCTTACCTACATCAATATTACCAACCAGTCGGCAAGAATACCCTTTCTATGATTCCTAATAAGATTGCACAGTCTTTGAAACTAGAACATCCTGAAACATATACAGGCCATTAATTCCGAAGAACATCGACAACGTTACTGGCTAATACAGGAGTTGATGTATTAGTAATCAAGAGACATGGTGGGTGGAAATCAGCCACAATTGTAGAAACAGGATTCTTTACAATGACACTTCAACTCCAGGTTCTAGTAGTACATCGCATCATGCTGTTTTAATGGATCAGTCAGATAATATTGAGCCTCCGGTGACTGAAATGGAGCGGTCAAATCATTTTGAGAAAAATGTGACAATTAATTAGTAAACGCGAGGGTATTAATTATCCAGATTCTATAAATATTACTAAATACTATTGTATGTATAAATATATAAATATTCAGTCATAATAATAAATAAAATGTAATGTTCATCAGATATTTCTATTTATTTGTTCATAAAATATGCATTTATAACTAGAAATCGCTTTTTTCCCTGGGGAGGTAAGTTATCTTATCACTTA